GGAGACTCTTCCATGCTGCAGCTGTTATCTCAGATGCTATGTACATCTTTGGTGGCACAGTGGACAATAACATTAGAAGTGGAGAAATGTACAGGTTCCAGGTAATTCACTGATAAACGTACTCAAACATCCACACCAATTCTGTGCGAATCCTTCTGGCTGTCTCTGGACATGGCGGAGTTTCTGGTTTGGCTCGCTGTCAGTTTGATGGCTTTCGTTTTGCATTCTTCCTGCAGGAAGCCTTGGCATTTCAGATTCAGCTGCCAAAGATTAATGTATATCTTTAAAATCTTTTGAGATATGTTATCTGAACAGACATTTTGGTAAGGCCAAGCTCTCCAGTGCCTTCTGAATTCCTAACAGAGATCATGACAACTTATTTTGACAAATTATTGAAAAGTGTTTCAGACAGGATTTGCCAGGATGTTTAGCCAAAAATTGGCTGTTCCTCTTCATGTACTGTCAGGTTCAGGGTTCCTGGGTCAGAGCATTTTGTATTGAAGTTTTATCTTCATGCAGCACTCCCACCCCCAGTCACTATGGGAATTTTAAATTTTAAATTTCAAGATACTCACACCAGGTCAAATCCCCCCTACACTCAAGTTTGTTTTTATTGCGTGGGACCTTCAGACAAGTCCTGAGAGCGGGTGAGACTCCAAGCCACCAAATCCTGAAATCTGCAAGTAGTGATGAGAGACATTTCTTGCATGTTAGTCTGTGTTATCTTCGTTACCCTCACCATAGAGGAAGCATTGCATGTGTTTGGTTTGGTTATTATTTTCTACTTTATATACTACATTGAGGTCAAGTTAATAAGAAAATCCAGTGATAGTATATGTAACTACACTGCTGTTGGATATAGCCATTTGAAATGAATTCTGTCTTCTGTGGGTTTTTATTTTTTCTAGTTTTCTTGTTACCCTAAATGCACTCTACATGAAGATTATGGAAGGCTGTGGGAAAACAGGCAGTTCAGTGACTTGGAGTTTGTTTTGGGAGAGGTGAGTAGAATTTATTGAAAAGGTGCCAAGGAGGCTGTTATTGCATGTGTAGCATGTTTGCTGGGAAAAAGCAAATTGTACGATGATTGTGCCAGAAACCCTGGGAATGAAGTTTAAAGAGCAGTGTCACTGGTGAAAATGATGTCTGTCTGGTTTAGTAAGTTCCACTAATCCAGATAAATTTATAAAGCTGCAAAGGAGGAGAAACTTTTAAACTGAGATCAGTGGATCACTGAGACATAACCCGAATTTATCAGAGCACATTATATATAGTTGCAATATGAAAATGATACTAATGATCTCTCTACTCCGAGGTCCTAACTGTCTCCTGGAAAAAGCAGCTCAGTGGTTTGCAGATCCATGTATCATTTCAAGAGCTGTTTTTAATTACTGAAATAAAATAGAATGAGAAAAAGCAGTACAGGGGAATGATTCTCTAGTAATGAAAACAATTATAGAATGTTAAAAAGAACATGTTTTCTGAAGAAAAACATGAGAAATATGAACTTACCTGCATTCCTTTTGCAAAAAAGAAAAAAACAACAAAAAAACTTTGCAGAGATCAGATAACAGATCCTCAACAACAGATGAAGTAGGTTATGAAGAACAAACATACTGTTGTTTTGAAAAGAGAAAATTAAACTGAAAATCAGATGCAACAATAAGAAGCAATATCTGTGACACTGAACCTACACAACAGCTTCCACTCAGTGAACGTAACAAAGACTCTTTCCAAATGGTGTTTGCCATTAGCCTTTAGGGAAAATAGGCGTTGAATTTCATGTGGATGTGCAGAGCAGATGCAAGGTTGCCTTCATTCTAACTTAAACTAAATGTATAGTAACCTGGAGTTCAGCCCAGGTTTCTATGGCTTCTGCCATCTGCCACCACCATGTGATTTGGGAATAAAAGTTTAATATGTGTTATTCCTTTGCCTTTGACAGAAGGAAGAACGAGTCCGAGGGCACACCGCAATTGTTACAGCTCGCTGCAAGTGGCTGAAAAAGAAAATCATACAGGCAAGGGAGAGGTTGAAACAGGTGAGTATTTTAGAAGAGTAATCTTGTGGCAAGGTAATGCTTATTCTACCCAATTTTGGAAATAAGGTTGTTAGGAAAAAGGTAGTATCTGCTGAAACAGATGTAGGACCAGAGCAGTGTCTGATGCTAAGGTGCTCTTGGGCAAGTAAAATAAAGAGGATAATTAGTATTAACATAGGCTACTGGATGTATATCAGGCCAGGCGAGGAGTGTAACATGGAGGAGCCAAAGTTAATCCAGTTGTCTGGATTTGGTGGTATGGTTCTTGGGAGCTCTTGAAGCTGTCTGAGTTCTAATCTTGTGGAATACCCCTGGGGAGGTATGTGTACCCCTCCCTCTGTGGAGGGTAAAAGCTGTATGTCATTGGGGATGGCCTGCAAGATAAGATAGATTAGAGGGAAGGCAGTGTTAAGGTTTTGAGGCTGGCTCTGTTCCCTTTACCTTAGTATTTCCTGATTTTTTTTCAGAATTGAAGGTCTGGTGCCTATGGTTCATTGTCTATTAATTTTAACTACTTACAGTTTTTCAGCAGCAAACATTTAATTGCTTTTGAGGAAGCGCTAGCACACAACCTGCAGTAAGACATAGGGATGCCTCATTGCCCCTTAGTTAATTGCTTTGCCACCCCACAGCCCTCCCTCTCC